TCCATGAGATCATCTACAAAAGTCGTCCACATAGTCTCTCAGAACCCTTTCGAGAGACCATCTACCCCAGGGGTTTTGTCCCCATCCATTGCAAAAGGGATGTCCAGATTTCCTCCCTGGCAATTGAAGCTTTCAATTTCTCTTTCTGTTCTTGAGTTAGTTTTTGTGTTAGGGGTTCGCGAAAGTTTTGTGTCTCCTGGTCTGGTAGTGTGGGGTCTACCGTAGATGTATAGAGATTTTTGAAGAATTCATAAGCTACTTTTAAAGTTTAAACTACTGACCGATGAAACGGCCTCAAAAGGTGGGGGCAAATTAGGATCTATCAGAGGTTCTATATTTGTTTTCCTACCCCTTGCTTTAGCCACGGCAAAAAACGAAGAATCCATTTGTCCTTCTGATTGATGTCTGGATAATTTACTTCTAATGAGGTAACCCTGCCACCGATTTTGGGCTAGGGTGAGGAGTTGGTTCTTAAGTTCTTGGATGTCCACTGGTTGGGGTAGAGTTTCCGAAGTTTCTTGTTGTTCATAATGGTGTATTTTTTTATGAATTTCTATTTCTTGTATATGTTTTTGTTTTGCTATTAATTTTGAGAATTCATTACATTTCTTGGCTAAAACGAATAATCCACAATTAAACCAAGATATGTAAGATTCATGTTTATCTTTTGTGGATTGCCAATACTTCCATACATCTTGGATGTAGGTTCTGAAATCTGTTCTTTTTAATAGGGACGAATTCGGCGGCGGTCGTTTCGTTTCGGCCATCCGAAAACGTCGGAGGGTTACCTGAGGCCCGCTATTTTCCCACGCGGCAAAGCTACTTGTGGTTTAAGAAGGTCTAACTGTGACTTTGTGTCTGACCATCTCTGCGTAAGTTCCAGCTGGATCTGTTGTCGAATCTGTTCCTCAATCTCCGACTCCTCCACCCATACTTTTTCCATGGCCAGAATGCACCTTTGCCACTAGAGTGTCAAAATCACAACCCTCCTTCCCAGTCTATACATATTTTCTACAAATGTCGTGGCTGTTGCTGCTGGCGGCCAATGGCCTGCCAGGATAGCCTGCCATGTCCAGGGCCAGGGGATGTCTGGTACCAATTTTCGCCAGATGCGGTCCTACCTTCTCCATGTGAACTGCGCGGTCAGACATTGCATAAAAATATGTTCAATTGTCTCCGTCTTTTTGTAGAAGGGAAAAAGGCTCTGACATCGTTGACACCAAGGGAGCAGTAACCCCCTTTGTTCAAGGTTTGTGCGGTTTGTCAACCAATCGTTGGTTGGGAGGCAGTGGTGAGCTATCTGCCACTGTAGAGAGGTGATTTTTGTTCCTTAAACCATTTAATTGGGGAAAGGAGGGAGCGGTCCACGTTCAAATGCCTAGCCCATCTGTCATTAATCATATCTTTCAAGTGTCTTTTGGGTCTGAGCATCTTGTAGGCAGATTTAACTGACATCTGTCGCAGACTATTGTGACCTATTCCTGCTGCTCCTCTCCTTTGAGGGTGTTGCTAAATCCATTCTACTGGGTCGAAGGGCAAATCATGAATTGGTCTTTCTGTCTGGAAGGCAACCCTTTGGCCCTTCTCTTCTAGGACCCTTACTCTTTGTAGGGTCGTTTTGTCTCTCCATACGAAGGGTGCCCTACTTTCCTGGAGAACACCCATTTTGGCTATAGCATAGTCTTCAACCAAGGCTGTCTGTGACGACACCCTGTGGATCAGGCCAATGCTCAGTGGGGCCCCAGTTCGTAGTACCCAGTCTCCTTCTTCCAGGATAGGACCTCGTTTGAGAATCTGGTACCAATCCAGCGGTATTTTTTCAATAATTTTTTCCAATGATTTTTCCACGTGGTGGCAGTATCTTAGGATATCGCGCAACTAGTCCCCTGTTTTCTAATACTGTCTGTCATTGTCCCAAAGATCCCCTACTCTGAGTATTCCATTCTTTACCCAACTCTTCCACGGCAAGGATGAGTTTGTCATGACACAACCTCTCGTGTCTGTCACCCATCTATTCCCAAACAGGGGTTGGCGATAAATTTCTTCCCATCGGTCGGGGCGGACCTTAACCGGGAGTGGTAGCCTCCGCCAAGTTTGAGTTTGCAGCAGGGATGGCCAAAAACTATCCACCCTCTGCCCTCCTTCTTCCGAACCCACCCTGCCGCGTGGGAGTTTTCGTGGGATTTCCCAGAAACGATCCTCTAGCCAGGTCAGCGAGTGAACCGCTCGGGGGGTTACTGGGGCCAAGCGAGCCAGATGTTCCAAAGCTAAGACGCACCATGGGTTCTGGGGGGTGAAAATGAGTTTTTGGATCCATTTGATTTGCAAAGCATGTACCTGTGTGGCTGGGTCAATTATCCCCAAACCTCCCCCTGCTTTCGGTTGTATGATTGAGTTCCAGGCCGCACGACTTATTGCGTTGGTCAACTTTCCATCTCCCCTCCATAAGAAAGTCGTTGCTTTTCCTTTAAGGCTTCTTAAAGCCGGTTTGCTCAGTGCCACAGGAGGGATTCGTACCATAGTGTTGCAAAGATCACATTGTTAAGCACCAAGGCACGTCCAAAGAGGGAAGTGTGTTTATTCTTCCAATTATTTAATTTATGCTGGGCTGGGGTGCCTATCCATTCGACGTTTATTGGTGACCGTCCCTCCGTGGCCATAGATACTCCCAGGATCCTCATTGGGGTGTCTAGTGGCTTCCATGCAATGCGTGGTAATTCTGGCGGACGCCCCCCCTTGGTAGTGAATCCACCAGCCCTGTGTCTTAGACCCCCAGTTCACTTTCATGTCGGATACCTTCGCAAACCTTTCCATCATCTGATGGACTTCGTCCATGTTATGATGTGTGGTTTCCGCCATAATTGTCAGGTCATCTGCGAACAGGGAGCACACCGGGATCGCATCCTCCGGGATGTGTGTAACTCTAATTTTGGTGATATTTTTATCTGCCCGAAGGTTTGCGGCTAAGGCTTCCATAAGGATAAAAAAGAGGAAGGGAGCGATTGGGTCCCCTTGTCGCATCGAGCGTTGTAGCTGTATGGGGGGTGCAAGGCTCCCATTAACTTGGACACACACAGTGGCGTTTTGGTGCAGTATTTTATCCATCGTCGGAAGTTCGGTCCAAAATTCATTTTTTCTAGACACTTGTCCAAGAACGATCCGTCCACAAGATCATAAGCCTTTTCAAAGTCGATAAAGACTAGGGCCGCATTTTGACGCGAATGTCTCGTAAGTTGAAGGATCTCATGGATTAGCAGGATATTTTCTTGTATATTCCTATTCTTCATGAATCCCGTTTGAGCAGGGTGGATGATGTCTTCCATAGCTGGAATCATCCTGTTCGCAAGGGCCTTAGACAACATTTTATACACGACTGTAAGCAGTGTGATTGGTCTGTAATTTCTAATGTCCATCTTGTCCCCCTTTTTGTATAGGAGGGTTAGGATCCCTTGCCCCACTCGTTCCCCCATTCCCCCAGTGAGCTAAACCTCGTCATAGAAGTCCATTACACCTTGGCTCATGAAGTCCCATGTGGTTTCCCAAAATTCCTTTGGGAAGCCGTCTATCCCTGGTGCTTTTTCCTCCTTCATTTGGAGAAGGGCAGTCCATATCTCGCTTTTGGAGAGAGGGGCTTCCATAGAGTCGCGTTGATCGGATGTTAGGGCCTTGTTCATGGGTTCCAAGAATTCTCTTGTCAGTTGTTCGTGGCATAGGGCATCTAATTTGTCAATGTGTGAGGAAAACAAATCTTTGTAGAAGTCATATGTTATTTTAGTACAGCGGGTTGTGGTTATTGCCGGGTAGTTGTCCTCGAGGTGCGTGCTTTAGCTGTGCTAAAGAAATGAGAATCCATCATCCCCTCAGTAGCGAATCTAGAAAGCCTTGCCCTTGTCTGGGCTCGATCTCTTGCATGTTCAAAAAGTTGGTTTTTCAAATTTTGGATACAGTCCTGTAGTTCAGCGGTCCGTTGTTCCTGCTCTTGCGACATTTGTTCCTGTTCTGCCTCTACTAAGTTGTGCATAATTGTAATCTCTTGTTGGTGTCTGTGAGCAGCTAGTTGCTTTGAGAATTCGTTGCTCTTTTTTTACATGAAGAAAAGACCGTTGTTGAACCAAGTAACCTGCGATTCTTGTTGTGGGCGATAAGATTTCCGAAAGTCCCAGGCCTGTCGTAGGTATTTCTGGAAGGATTTGGTTCGAAGCAAAGAAGTATTTAGTTTGTAGTAGCTGGCCCCTTGGTCTGGACGTTTACGTAGCGTCCAGACCGCCATTCCCATCCTGTGGTCCAAACCGAGGTACGGGCTAATTGGTAGTATTGCTGCCAATGAAAGCCCCCCTCCTAGTTCTTCTGAAGCCAGGATTAAGTCGATACGGGATTTGGATAATCTGGCGGGGTCATTATTTTGAAAGCAGGTAAAGACTTTTTTCGTAGGTGACTGCGCCTAAAGGTGTCAAAAAGTGACAGGGAAGCACCTAATTCCTTCAACATCCGCTCATCCTCCTCTGTGTTATATGCGGTGGTCTGAGAGACTCTCCACCAGTCCAGCCACTTGTCCGGTGCGACATTGAAATCCCCTGCTAGAATCAGCGGGACCCCTGGAATAGGGAGGGTTTCCAACTTTTCGAAGGTCTGTCTTTCTCGGGTTGTGCTAGGGGCGTAAATAGCTATTATGCAGACTACTTCGATTTCTAACATCCCCAAGATTTTCACCCACCGTCCCTCCTCTTCGTCGTTCTCCCAGTAAAGTACTTCTAGTCGTGATTCGGAAGGAATCCAAAGTGCCACCCCAGAGCTCCCCGGTCGTGGAGCAAAGGCTTGGTAGCTCTGATAGGGCCAGGCTTGCTTGTGGGCCCTGTGATGCTCGGGAATGAAAATTTCGCTTTCGTATTTATTGAAAAATACACTCTCGCAGGTTTCGTAACCTTGGTTGGTGGAGATTAGGGTTGTTTGATAATGGTGGTTTGGAGAGGGGGTAGATTAGGATTTCACTGTTGCTAAATTAGTGAACGTGAATTTTGTTTTAGGGTTGGGATTGGGATCATTGGTTTTCGTAACCTTGTGAGGCTGTGGTGGGGATAGGTTTGGCCGGGAGTGCCTTACTTAGCCCGTTTGACCGCAGCAAATGATGTAAGGGACACCAGGCTCGTTTCCCGGATATATGAATATGAATTGTATTCTTCAAAAAAAAAAAAAAAAACACTCTCGAATTAATTTTGAATAAATTCAAATTAATTTATTCAAAATTAATTCTTGCTCTGCGATTCTCTGCTACCCTCATTGCTAAATCACTTGATGGCGCTCTATTCTTGTAAATAGGAATTGTTCCCCCCATCTCCACATGCCACCACGCCAAACCAACGCGCCGCCGCCGCCACCGCTGCCGCTATCACATCCGCTGCTACCACCTCCACTTCCGCTCCGGCCACGTTATCCACCCCCTCTTCCCCCACCATGGCCCAATCTTCCATCAACATGTCTGATCTTCGTTCCGACTCCATCAAGAGCATTGCCCACGAACTCGCAAGCGATCAGCCAACTTCGACCACCACCACCCCGGAACTTGCAGCTATCCTCCAAACGTTGACCGCCCTCAAATCCTCCCTCGCCACCATCAACACCACCATGGCCGCCATCTCCGATCGTGTCATCACACTCGAGGGAAACTCCCCCGCCATCACGGTCGCCACCACGACCACACCCCCCTCCTCCACACCCCAACCCACCTCCTCCATCTAGGTGGTCACCGCCAACACCCCCACGTCCACAGCCGCCTCCAGCCACACCCCCCCGCGGACCTCCTCCACTCCTACTACCTCTACCACCACCTCCACCACCTCGGCCTCCTCCACCCTTCCCCCCCCCTCATCCGACACTTCCAGCACACCGCCTCATTCCTCGCCTAACCATGCCACCCCTCTTCCCCCCCCGAACTCCCATGCTGTCTCACAACCCATCATGACGACCTCCACCATCCCCACCCCCTGTCCCACATATTCCCAAGTCACCTCCGGGGTTTACCACGCAATGCCACAACTTCCCCCCAACTACCTCCTTGACGACAACAGCCAATTCGATTACACCTGCTACGACACTACCCCCGATAACCTCAACTTCAACACCCTCGCCCGGATCGTTTCCCGCAAAGGGGAAATCCCCCATACCTTCCGATCCGCCGACATCATGACCTTCTCCAGCCTTCCCCACGAGGACGTTTTCGTCTTCCTTACCCAACTCCAGAACTCTTTCAAGCTCCACCACATGCCCCTTGTCCACTGGCTTCCCATTGCCACCTCCTGCCTCCTCGGCATTGCCGCCAAATGGTGGATGGCCGAAGTCAGCAACCGCCACGCCTCCGGAGGACTGCGTCACTCCTTCCTCCAATGGGCCAACCTTCTCACTGCCACCTTCCGCCCCCAGAAAACCATCGATGACTACCTCGAACAATTTTGTCACCTCCGCCAGACCGGTCCCACGGACCGCTTCGTGCAATACATCCGCTCTCTCCGTCATCACCTCCTCACCACCGTCATTCCCGTTTTTGCATTCATCTCCCGCATCAAGCGAGTATGCCACAAAGATCTTGCAATCGCCCTCGCTCACGAACCCGACATGCCCCTTGTTGACCTCCTCTCTCGCATGCTTCACCACGATTGACTCCTCCACCCTCATCACCAGTCCGCGCCCGCTCCCTCCCGCCCCTGCTTCTTCCATAACATCACCCCTGACGACACCACTCCATCCGCCTCCAATGAGGACTTCGACACTCCTCTCTCGACCCCTCCCAATTCACCATTGAGGACCTCCAGCAAGCCCACCTTATGCGGATGGAACGCCAGGATCGTGCCTCCCGACCGCCTTCTTCCTCTCCACCCTGCTGTCTCTAGAAACTTACATCCGCAGAACGCATATACCTCCAGGAACACAACGGGTGTTTTCGCTGTCGCCAGTTAGGTCACCAACAGACCAACTGCCCCAACGCTAGCCGCTTTACTTGACAGGCCCCTCGCTCCGCGGGACCCAACCCTCTTCCTCCACCGTGACAGTCGGGCCCTCCTCCACCTGAACATTGTCCCCCTGTCCCGTGCAATTCTGCCCCGGCATCGACCACTTGTCTGCCGGCTCTCCCATTGGTGACGATCTCTCCTCCACCGGTGGCCCACTTGGCATCGACTGTCCGTCTGCCTACCCCCCCTCCGGTGACGCACATTCCATCGGACGACCCCCAGGCAACGCAGTCTACGCTGCCATGACCCATATCCAGCTCCTCCCATCATTCCATCACTGATACACCCAAGGCTACCTCTCTTGCCCAGACTTCGCCGCCATTTACAAGTTCCGTGATCTTGACCCAGTCCCCGACTACTCCCTCCACGACAACCTCCTCTACATCGACACCAAAGGCACTCGTCGACTGTGCATCCCCGACACACGTGGTCTCCATACCCAGCTCTTGGTCGAGCACCACGACGCCAAAACCGCAGGTCACCTCGGCTTCCAGAAAACGTTCGACACCATCTCCCGGGACTTCTATTGGCCTTCTCTACTCGCTGACGTCAAAACATACATTCCTCATGTCCCACGTGTCAGGCTGTCAATCCCTCGAACCGGGCCAAACTCGACAAGCTCCAATCATTGCCCATCCCCACTCACCGGTGGCAGTCCATTTCCATGGACTTCGTGTGCGATCTCCCTAAGACCGACCGCGGGCATGATTGCATCATTGTTTGCCGCCTGACCAAACGTGCCCACTTCATTCCTTGCACCACCTCGCACACCGCCAAAGACATCGCCTTACTCTTCTTCGACCATGGTGCACGCCACCACGACCTCCCCGAGGAAATCATCAGCGACCACGATCCCCGTTTCCTCTCACAGTTCCGTAAACAACTCTTCAACGCCTACGGAACTACACTCAAGTATAGCACTGCATACCACCCACAGACCGATGGACAAACCGAGAAGATGAACGATACTCTCCAAAGAATCCTACGGAAGTACTGTCATCCACATCAACAGGACTGGGATCAACTGCTCACCGCCGCCGAGATCGCCTACAACAACGTTGTCTGTCCTTCCACTGGCTTCTCCATTCTACCTTGACCTTGGCTACCATCCGCGCTTGCCCTCTGATTTCCTGCTTCCCTCGCAACTCAACCCCTCCACACCCTGCCCTTCCCTCAATGAATGGGTAGCAACAATGAATCGACTCCTCAGAGAAGCAACCGAAGCCCTAAAAAGAACACAAGAACAACAAGCAAACAAGATTAACAAACACCGACGAGACTTGATTCAAAGTAGGGGACAAAGTCTGACTCTCCGCCAAACGCTTTGAACCCGAACATGGATTGTCAAAAAAAACTCTCGAACAAATGGCTTGGACCCTTCCCCATCATTGAAACTCCGACGTCAACTACAAACTCCAACCCCCCCCTGACATGAGCCGCGTCCACCCGGTCTTCCACGTCGACTACTTGAAAGAATATCATGAATCCCCACCCCAATTCGCTGACCGCCCATATCCTAGACCTCCACCTATCATGTTACCCACAGGCCCTGAATTTGTTGTTGAAGCAATCATAGGTCGATGAACTACTCAGGTATCTGACCACCCGGAACCGATCACTGAATACAAAGTCAAATGGACCGGATACCCCGACGAAGAATCTACATCGGAACCTCTCTCGAATCTCAAGAATGCCATGAAACTTGTCCGCGCCTTTGATCGTGCTACTCCTATGTCCTAGACACCCACGTAACTACAACTACAAGGAACATGAATATGGTCGAAGCACATAAATCCAGATTGCAAAATCACACTGAAGTCTAAGTAGTCAAAGCAAGAGCAGATATAGCACAATGGAACCGAGTAACCATCCATTTGAGAATGATACAGAAGAATCGTGAGTCAATGTCCAAGCCCAACAGGGCAACACCAACAACATAACCCAATGTAGCTCTCTCAACTGAATGGCGCGAGGCGCCGTATCTACTCTACAGCCTAAGCCTACAACTACAGCAATGAAAGCAACCAGACAACTTGACGACCAGCGAGTGATGATGTCAACACCAATGCCGACCTCCACCTCCACCAGGTACGTCTCCTTCTTCACCCACACTCTCCCTTGTTATCCCACACAGCGCCCTTCACCTCCGAAGAACCACCTTCGCCCTCACCTCCCCTGCGCCCTCAGGCAGCCCGGCTATGGCCGCCAGCGCCCTGTGCACAGGCAGCGCCCTACTGCCTAGCGCCTGCCTGTCTAGCACCTCATCCTAGCGCAGCGCAGCAGCTCGCATTAGCGCAGCGTGCCGGCATTGCCCGCAATGGCCAAGATCCCCTGCCCACTCGCCCTGCTGGCCTATATGCCAGTGTTGCGTGTGGTCGGCCTCCCTTCAGCCTGCGTCCGGGCCCCAGTGCCTGAACCCAGACCCGATGCAGTTGAGGCCCGGGGGATGTAGTTTCGCCTCTTTCGTCAAGGCCTGTGGCCAGATTCAGATAGTGGGCTGATTTCCCTTTGGCATTTTCGGCCTCTATACCCAGCATGCATTGTCGGCCTCACGTTCAAGTGCCCAGGGCCTAACTAACTCAGAGGCCCTGGGATTTCCCCATTTGCTGAGATCCGAGACTCGTGGTCTCCGTACTGCAACTGTATGGACCCCACTTCGTGAAACGTTTGCACAGAGGGCTCTTGTTGATTTGGTGGCCCGCCTTCACTTAGGGCGGGCACGAGGCTTGCAGGGGCCTTAGCCCAGAACATGTACATCATGGCAAGGCCCCTTCTTGAGGGCTCAATCCTCACATTCCATCCCCCTTAGCTTCGAAAGTCCGCCGAGATGCTTACTTCGCAGGTGCCTTCCCTTTCCGTATGATGCCTGAATCTGACGCAATATTCTCTCTTGGGTTTAGGAGGTCTTCCTCTACCCAAAGGCTTCTGAACAGGCAGATTTTTGTGATCCACAATGTCGTCGATGTCCACTTGACCATCCATGGTTGGGGGCAGCATCGATCTCCTTGAAGGGAATTGATCAGTCTCAGCGAAAGGTGCAAGCTTTGAGGCATGAAAGACAGGGTGAGTGCGTAGGTGTCCAGGGATACGGATAACATAGGTAGGACCATCCATCTCATCCCCCACTACATCCAGGACTTCCCAAGGACCAAAGTACTGAGGCATTAGTTTTSTAGAGATACCGAATTCCWGYCCTAGCTCACTAGCCTTGACCCAGACACGTTCCCCTGCCTGAAATGAGGACTGTCGTCGATGCTTGTTCTCAGAAGCAATCATTGCTTGTTGAGCTTTCTTAATATGCTCGACAGCTTGCTGCAGCAACTTCTCATGCTGCACACCATACTCAAGTGTGCCTGGAGTTGCAGAGGATCGGTTTTTAGGTAGGAGGAAGTCTAGAGCAGATCTAGGCTTCCATCCCAAGTGCAGCTGGTTAGGACTAACGCCGGTACTGCTGTGTATAGCATTGTTGTACAGGCTGGCGATGAGAGGCAACTTCTCATCCCAATCATCCTGGCTGGGCTTGGTGTAATGCCTCACTCTATTCATTTGCTCGGGCTGTCCGTTGGCTTCGGGATGATTCCCTGAAGTCATCTAAAGTTGACTTCCCATTTGCTCAGCAGTCTTCTTCCACAGCTCACTTGTGAAATGGACATCTTTGTCACTAACGATTGTCTTTGGTAAACCAAAGTCACGCACCCAGTTGTCCTGGAACAACTTGATGACATGGTCCGTCCTTGCGGTCTCTGGCATGGCAACTAGTCTAGCGTACTTGGTGAATCGATCTATGATGACGAAAATGTGTCTCTTGCCACTCTTACTGGTCACCAGGGTGTCCATGAAATCCATGGAAACACTCTGTCCTGGACCAGCAGGGATAGGTAAGGGCTTCAGCAACCCAAGCGGTGCTTGAGTTCGCGGCTTGTCCCGCTGACAGACCTGACAGGTCTCTACATACTTCTTCGCGTCATCTAGCATTCCAGGCCACCAAAATCGTTGTACTAGATTAACACTCGTCTTTTTGTAACCAAAGTGCCCGGTTGCGTCATGGCATTCTCCTAAAAACAAACTACGCAAACGTTCACTAGATGGAACTACTAGCCTTTTAACACCGGCCTTATCAAGATAGAGAAGCCCGTCCACCATCACAAACTCACTTTCCGTGGCCTTATCTTTTGCCTGAGGTTTGCGAATGATGTCCATCGTGACAGGGTCTTCCTGATAGGCTCCCACCAACGATTGAGTTACTTCTTCCGATACACAAAAGTCAGAAACTAGCGCCCCTAGGTAGTCTGCCCTACGTGATAGCGCATCTGAAACCTTGTTGTACTCTCCCTTCAGATACTCAAGCTTGAAGTCATATTGATCTATGACCTCAATCCATCGCTTGAGTGCATCAGAAAGAGCCGGTTGAGTCTTGACCCATTTGAGCATCTGATGGTCAGTTCTCAAGTAGAAGAACCGTCCCAACAGAAAATGTCTCCAATGGAGAAGTGCCTTGTAGAGAGCATAGAGTTCCCTCGTAGGTGGACTTCGCCAATTTCTTCGATGGCATTTTCTTGCTCATGTACTCAATCGGTCTCAACTTCTTCCCATCCTGCTGAGCCAGCACGGCGCCAATGCCATATTGGCTTGCGTCAGTGGTCACTATAAATGGCTTCTGTGGGTCGGGAACCATGAGAACTTCATGATTCATGAGTGCATGCTTCAATCGCTTGAAAACTCCCTCACACTCATCACTCCAGTCCCACGGCGTGTCAAGTCGAGTTAGATCCGTCAAAGGAGAGGCGACTGTAGAATAGTTCTTTACGAAGTTCCTATAGTAGCCGCACATTCCCAAGAAAGATCTGACCTCAGTGACAGTCTGAGGTCGTGGCCAGTCTCGAATACTAGCCACCTTCGCATCTTCCGGCCTAATCCCTTCCGCGGATACTTCATGACCCAAGTATAATATCTTAGTGCGACCAAACTCACACTTCTCTAGGTTGACCTTATACTTGTGCTGTCGGAGGAGTGAAAGTACAGTCTCAAAGTGTTGTGCATGCTCCTCGGCAGACTTACTGAAGATCAGAATGTCGTCAAGGCAAACCACGACAAACTTATCTAAATGGTCATGGAAGATCCGATTCATGGCGTGCTGGAATGTTCCCGGCGCATTGCAAAGACCAAAGGGCATCACTACAAACTCATACAGACCATATCGAGTCTGAAAAGCTATCTTGTGTTGGTCCTCAGGTCTTATAGCGATCTGATGATAGCCGGATTTCAAGTCTATCTTGCTATAGTACTTGCATCCCTGCACCCTATCCAGTAGGTCGTCCATGCGAGGTAGAGGCTCTGCGTTCTTCACGGTGATGGCATTGAGGCCTCTATAATCAATGTACATCCTTAACGTACCCCCCTTCTTCGGTACGAATAACACTGGAGATCCGTAAGGGGAAGTACTAGGTCGAATCCATCCCTTCTCTGTCAGCTCTTTCAGTTGTCGCCGGAGTTCATCTAACTCGGCGGGAGCCATCCTATAGATCCTCCCCTTTGGGGTTTTACTCCCGGGATGATTTCTATAGCGTGGACAACTTCCCTTTCTACGACCCCTGTGGGCTCTTCGAACAGATCAGGGAACTTAGCAACGACGCGTTCTATCTCTGGGGGTGTTTGAACGGCCTCCCCTTTCTCAAAGACATACACAAGGTACATACCTTCCTCTTGGTTTTGTTTGTAATAGTTATAGAACGCTGATGTGCACAAGCAGCCATAGGTATTTATTATGCTACTGGCTTTGAACTTAGTCAATCTGACTGTCCTGCCATCGGGCAACTTATGCTTTAGCACCTTCTTATCCCAATCGAACTGGAGCTTGGCAACCTCAAGGTAGTACATGCCTAACAACATGTCGAATGGTAAGTCGTCGCTAACCAAGAACGAAATCTTATGATTAAGTTCTCCTCCTCCATAGGAGAAGGTACAGACTACCTAAATCCCTGTATAAACCTTGCTACAACCTCGCAACCCCGTTCTACCCACACCCTTGAACCCAGTCCACCCTCCCCTCGACCCCAATTCCTGATGTCTGATCTGCCCTTGCCCTCGCCTAGCCTTGTCCCATCTGTCCTCTCCACTGCCTTGTCTCTCTTGTCCAATGCTTATGAACCTGCGTGACGCCGGCGATAAAGGATCTAATGGCAAGCGCACGAGGACGATGGCCTGCTGCCTCACAGTTCATGGAGATTATGCAGCTGGTTTGGCCACCATGCCGTTTCATCGGCCGGCATCCCGACTCGCGGACTTACTGGAGCAGCAACTTGTGACATGGATCTTTGCATCAGTTTGCGACTTCCTTGCTTCCAGATCAGACCTCGTTGCAGTTCCTGTACTGGACGCATGCTAGCACTTGGGCTTTGGACATTTGAACTACTGTTACGCTTCTTGGACTTCTACCTGTCGCAGCCGCTCAAGACCGCTGCAGATCCCCTTTCAAGACACTTGGACACTTTGTTCCTACATGAGATTCTGCTTATGACTCCCTCAGACAAACCAGCCCTTGCCTCCTGAACAAACATTTTCATTTTTATTTTTTTTCTCCTGACTTTGACAACCCTGTAGAACATCATTGGCAGATCCTTGTTTCCCTGACCATTGTTCCCCTTACCCACTAGAACATTAATAGAAATTCCCTGTTCCCCTGACCATTGCTTCCCTTACCCACTAGAACATCAATAGAAATTTCCTGTTTTCCTGAACATCGTTTCCCCTACCCAGTAGAACATCAATAGAAATCCCCTGTTCCCTGAACATTGCTTAGATTCCCCTATAGACCCACCCAGTTACATCATACCTTCACCTGTGCAGAACACCAGACAGAATACCCTGTGACTTGCATCACTCCCCTTCTCCTTCTCCGACCAGTGATCGGCCCCGTCCCGTCCTTCACAGCTCCTTTTGTTTCCTTGGCTTTTTGGCAGCCGGGACGTTGCCTTTCAGAGGAAGGGGATAGTGTTACGGACTCCGCTAGGGCTCGATCCCTGGTCTATCTTTTTGCTGTTTCTGCTGCATCCCGTTTTCGGCCTGGCACCCTTTTTCCCAAACCCCTCCTTTGGTACCGTCGGATTTTGGACAACTGGCGCCGTGCTGCAATTCGGGCGCCACTGTCAAATACCGCATTTTTCAGTTCTGCCCTTGGGGCTTTTGCGGAAATGCCCCTGGTACTGTACGTGTCACCGGTACTTATACCGGCTCCCCGTACAGTACGGGGACCAGTCTCGTACCAGTTTTCAACTGCTGTACTTGAACTCAGTGTGACTTGCTGTTTCGGCATTCGGAATCCAAGACTTCGACTTTGTGCCCTTGCCACTGTGTCTGCGTCCGATCCTCAGTCGTATCGAGTGAGTGAGTGTGTGTGTGTGTGCTCTCACTCTCTCCCTCTCTCTCTCCTCTCCCTCGGCTCTCCCTCAGCCTCGCACTCGTCACACGCACGCTCCTCGCCCTTCTGGTGTGGAAGCCCAGAAGGCGGCATTTTTTCCTTCCATGAGGAAGGATGTACCGAACTTCAACCCCGCCTAAGTTAGCCTATTCAAAACTGTTACTGTCCTTGGTGGTTATTCCGAGTACTTTTGCTGGGCTCGTCTGGTCTGTCGGTCAAATGGACCGCCTGATTGGCAATACTTGCTAGAACTTCTGGCTCGGTGTGTTAACCTTTTTTGCTGGTCTCTCTCATGGCTGTACCTCGGGGTGGTAAGACCCTAAACCCTGACTATTTTAATTGGTCTTGTACTTTTGTGTATTTGTGTTGATTAGCGCTGTAGGATGTAAGCTCGTAAGCGCCATCCTTTTCTGAGTACCTTAAGACCTGTTTGGCTATGAAGCCTCTTTCTATGGGTTGTCCTGGACCATTGTCTTTCCTCGTTTGAGGGCTACTGAGTAGAAACTGAGACTGACTTGGTGGGTGGGAGAGTCGGTGGCTGCTAGGGGTGTTTTATGGGGAGGTATGGTTGGGCATGCATAGGAGGGATATGAGGGGTGTGGGTGTTGGGGGAGGGGTTGAGTCTGTATGCTTTTTGTGTTGGAAGTAGAGTCCGTTCGGTTAGGAGTCAGGCCTGTGGGTGGATCTACGGAGTTGGTTGAAACGGATTCCACCTTTGCAGTAGCCGATGCAGATCCCAGGGCTCAATCCCTAGTCTTTACCTTACCTGTGTACAGTACCTGTGCCGACCCCAGGAGAGCCCACGACCTGTCTTTTCCCACAGTTGGTAGGTTGTCATAGGTCTGTAGGTTATAGGGGTTCGATTTGTAGACCTGTCAGATAGGATTCTTAGCGAGTTCTACAAGTCGTAGCTGTAGCTCCTTCGAAGGGTCAAGGTCGTAGCTGCTACAGTCCTGAAGGGTCAAGGTCGTAGCTGCTACAGTACCGAAAGGCCAAGTCCACGGTCTTCCAGAACGTCCGGAAGTGGTCTTTCGGGTACTACGCACAGTAGACCGAGGCAAGTGGGCAAGTGGTGGAGTCCACCTGTGCTGAGTCAGCGGTACCCAGTCCCAGTCAGTCCTAGTCCAGTCAAGCAAGTACCGTATGGGACTGTGTGCACCAGGGGCATGGAAAAGGGGCAGACCAACGAGCTATAGGAGTATAAATCAAGAGGCAGCACCCAGCCATTCATTCATTCCTGCGTCAGCCATGGGGAAGCGCTGCCATAGCGACTTGTGCGAGGTGGTTTGCAATATGCCCGAAGAGGAAGTGGATGAGAAGGAGAGCTTAGCCATAGCGATAGGGGTAGCAGCGGCCATATGTAATAACCCTGTTCAGAAGTAGCCTGGGGGCCAGAACGCAGCCCCAGGCCACACAGACCTGAGAAGGTCTGCGCTGGGCTGTGTGACCAAGACACGCCCAGGCCTGAGTCTGTCGAGTGTGGCTGTGTGACCAAACGTTGCACACAGGAAATTCAAGAGTCAAAGTCAACTGTAGAGTCAAAGGTACCGCACCCAGGCCCTGGGTTGGATACACTCACTTGTTCTGCGCAGGTACCCAGACAGCATCCAGGCCGGAGGGAATTCGGTTTCAGGCCGATCTGAGCCCTCATTCGCATTGAGATCTGGACGGCCGAGGGATACAGCATCCGGGGTCCAGACCCCGCGTCAACACTACATAAGAGTTGACTTCTGGCTTTGACATTCATTCTGTCTTGCGTTGATGCTGACTTCACACGTTGACTTCAACGCTGGCTCAACGCTGCGACGCTGGCTCGACGCTACTGGCATTGTGACTTGGTGAGGTGCTACTAATCCGGCATGGTGGCTGGCTTGCTCCTGTCTTCTTGGCATGCTGACGTGGCAGCTACCATGCGCCTTCGCTGATGTGGCTGCTGCCACGTGTATCATTTGGCTGACGTGGCTGCTGCCACGTGTTCTATTGAGGGGACTACGTAATCGGCATTGCTGTTCTGTTCGTCGTCACTTCAGGAGGAGATCAGGACTGTGGGAAGTTTGAGGATACGTACCTGGTGGTCTTCATGTCGACATTGCTTCAGATGCTGATGTGGAACTGATTAGACGTGCCACGTGGCACATTGAGGATACTCGGATACTCGTTCAGACTATTGATCGTTGAGGTGTGGTAGAGGAGGGAGCCCGAAGCAGGAGTGGGCATTATACTTCCTCTCCTTTGCCCCTTCTCCCTCCTCTCTTTTCGTCTGTGTATGATTACCTCACCTCATTCTGTCTGGTTACGATTCTGACTATTTGTAATCATCAGCCGATGGAGATTTAATCTAGACTTGCATTGTTGACAACTGTCTCAGATCTGGGTTCATTACAATTTGGTATTAGAGCTTTTCTCCTGACGACGACATTTGTATGTGGTTAGGCGCCAGGTGGCACACAAGTAAGCAAGGTTGAGTAAGTGATGACGTGGCAAGGGATACACTGGGGATATTGATGTGGCACATACCTCTTGGCGAGAAGACATTGCCGGGGATTGCTGACGAAGTACAGATTCACTGGCGAGAAGACCTGACCGGAGCAGCGAAGTACAGGCTCTGCTGACGAGAAGACATCCCTACCAGGCTGTTGACGTGGCAGTAGGGATCGCAACAAGGGATACTGCACGCCAGCCAGGATTGCGATAGTGACGTGGCATCGCGATCCCCTGCTGACCTGGCACACATCGTGCTGCGTCTTAAGACCCTGTTGATTGTGGCACTCTTTGTGTTGCTGACACGACAGGGTCTACTGCAGATGCTGACGTGGCCTGGAGGAAAGATTAATTGCTGACGTGGCATGAGCAGGTCATCACACTTGTCTCATGAGGTGGTGTCTGCCTGCTGACGTGGCATTGAACTCCTTGGCTGACGAGGCATAATCTGACTGGCTGGAACGGCGACGGTATCTCACTTGACGTTTGGAAGAGGCACGTGGCGAGGTTCAGACTACACATTTGCTGACGTGGCATCCTATTATTGACAGACTGAACAGAGTGCTGACGTGGCAACATTGGTATGTTGGCACTCCAGGGGTGACACGTGGCAGGCAGGATACTGTCGAGTAAGAGGTGCACTCTAAAGACGACGGCGGTACAACTGACTGGACAGATTACACAG